GCTGCAGTCTCTAGCAACAAAGGTTTTTCAGGCGTCATATTGAAAGGAAAGGGCGGATAGTAATGTCGAGGTAGAAGGATCATCCTCGAGGGACCTCTGACTTTTATTCCTAATTTGAAAAAAATCGGTCCTTCAGATTGGAGAGGACGGATAGACACATTTTTTTAAAAATTCAATTTTCGAGTTCTACGTATCCTGAAACGTAAAACTTTTTTATTAATTAATGAATAGCTACGTAAGATTTGGTATTGGTGCCCCGAGGTACTCCCACGTCTCTCACCACTACACTGAGTTAAGGTGGCTCTTCCCCTCCTTTAGAAGACAATATTTCCTAGGTACGTTCCTTTATCAAATCATCAACAACCATCGTCCTTTTTTACGCCTACAACCTTCTCCAATTCAAGTCCTCAGTCCACTCCCTTTCAACAAGATCTCGACCTTCTGACTTCTACATCCCTTCTCACAGATCTGCCTCATTTCAAAACTCCTTTATAGCTCGCGCCGTCAATTTCTGGAATTCCCTCCCTATCAAAATTCGGCATTCTCTCTCCCCATGCCAAAAACAGTCAGATGCTTGCTAAACTTTTGATATTATACATTGTTATTATATCATTCATCATCAAATGGCAGTACAATTCCATACTGTAAACTTCACAAGGGATTTTAAAATATCTTCCTACCCTCAATGCCACTGAATGCATTTATTGTTCGTTTTTTTAAATTTTTTTTTATTCTTACACAAATAAATTTGTACCAATAGTTACAATAAGATAATGATGTGTTTAGATATTATTCATTATTTAAATACTCTGACATTTTATGTTGTCAGATTTTTCTTTCCTTTGTTGTGGTCAGAAACACAGCTCATTTTAAAGAAGAACTCAATTTATTTTTTATTTTTTTTATTTTTCAAAAGTGGATAATTATAATTGTTCCTACTGTACATAGTTTTAAGTGTTTTGTATATATATATATATATATATATATATTTTTTTTTTTTTTTTTTTTTGTATGTAGCTTGTTTAACTAATATTCTCTTTACTTTCTATTTTTTTTATTATTGCTTTATTTTAGCCAGATGTAGTCTTTTAATTATGTTCTATTTTGTTATTCTAAAGGGACTTTGTCTCTGAATAAGGTTATTTTCTATTTCTATTTCTATTTCTAAAACCACGAATTTTCAGGGTTTGAATTGAAAATAATAAAAATAACAAAATGAATTTTTAACATCTATGTCGTTATCTACTGATATCTAATTTTATATTATTGAATAATAAATAAATGTTTCTATAGAATTTAAATAGAATATTCATTGAAAATATATGATATTAATGTTTTTATTGTATATGTTGATGTTAACTGATGTTGATGTTGATATTAACTGTAGCCAAATAAGATAGGGAGAAACCAGGGCCGAAATATTCGGGATTCTTGACAAATCGTCGAGCGGGAAGTCCCATGATGTATTTCCAAGTTTTATCTGTCCCCTGCCTGGGATATGATGTCTTTCCAATATTATTCCTGTTTTCCGCCAATCTTATTCAATTAAATTTCTGCTTATACATACTATGATTCCTTGTATAATAATTACAAAATACAATGATTTGTGTATAATCATTTATTGGAATTGTTTGTTTCCCAAGTGACTCTTATCATCATTGACAATTTGAAAGTAAACATGAAAAACAATATTTTCTTTTTTTTTTCACCTTTAAATTGGTAATTAATTTTTTTATATAAGTACATAATAAGTACTTATATAAAAAAATGAATTATATAATTCTTCTGTTCATTATCACTAAAATTGGTGTCTTTAGGTTTTATTTGATATATATATTAGGCCATTATTCACCAATATTTTATTTATTAGCTATTTTATTACGACTTTTCGACCATCACTAGGGCCATTTTCAAGTCTTATTGAGTCCTCCGTTAGATATTCATTATTAATGTCGTATTAATTGGTAGTATTACTTACTGAAACAGTCCCTCCAGAAATGACGTAGGGGAAACGCGTAAATAGCAGGATAATTTAATTTTTCACTGAACACATTAATAATGAATATCTAACTGAGGACTCAGTAAGAGTTGAAAATGGCCCTAGTGATGGTCGAAACGTCGTAGTAAATAGGTAATAAATACAATGTTGGTGAATAATGGCCTAATTTATATAACAAAGAATTATATAATATATTAGTCCGTGGTACAGACCCCTTTTTATCAAATTGTTAACAACCTCCTGAAACTTCGTGAGTAGCTTCATCTCATCGTAACCTACAACTATTTTATTTACGAAAACTCTTGGAATTGGGGCGTTTTCAATCTGAAGGAGGCCAAACTTTGTCTATTTAATTAGGTACTAAAAACTTGTATATACCCATTTGCATTCCACTGGAATCGTAAGATACATTGATGATAAAATCGAAAAACAGTGTGGCCTGCAAAAATATTGGGCCGTGTGTATAAAACCTCGTTATTTTGGGGTGTAGGTGACGCCAAACGTCTCAATATTTTTGAAGGCCGCCCTTTTTTGTTGAGTTAGCGCTCAAATTATCTTACGATTCAAGTGGAAACAAAATGAGTATTTTATATTTACGTATACCTTTTTATATATTTTGTTTAAATAGGACGAAAATGTTTTAACATTGAAATACGTTTCAAATAATGTTTACGTTTTTAATGTGATAAAGATTTCTCTTCTTCATAATGAATTTTCGCGTCCGATTTCCATTAAAACGACCAAATTTTTTGCTTCTATTCATCATACATGCTATAATACTTCATAAAATACATGAAAAGTTCAATACATTTCTATTCGTTATTCAGTAATAAACATCATTAGAGCTCGGATTATTATTCAATAAAATCCAGGCAATATGCCATATAATATCCAATAAAAATATCATTTTCCATTTCTTATTTTTTTTTCACGCTTGCTCAACTAAAAATGAAATTGAAGAAAGGATTAAAAATAATATAAAAATGAAATTTTATATGAAATTAAATAATTAAAATCTAATTATTTATATAATACTTGAATCATACTAATGTTAAGGGTACATTTATATCCACTAAAAATTTTAATGTAATATATAAACTTTGATTTGAACAATAGATGTAAAAAGGAATGTTTTGAAAAATGTTTCATCTTCGGAATTGTAAGGGTCGATCCAATACTTAAATTTTGTAAACAATTATGCATTTTTAAAAAAATATTTTCACTTGTAAATAAAGTAAAAAATTCATACTTAAAGCAGTATTTAGAAGTTAAAAAGGAATGAGAAAAAGAGATAAAAATCCTCGAAATGAAAAAAGTCTTTATTCTAAAAAAAAACCTGTACCACTACAACCCATGCGTTATGCGTTGGGTTTTGGGTTCAGTACTATTTAGGGAAAGTACTGTTTCTAGGTCAACGGTTGTGTAAGGAGATGATTTGACCGAGATCACGCTCAACCGCCAGGTTTTCCCCTTAATTAATTATTTAATTAAGGGTACTCACTTTTATAGAGGCTGGGTGTGTCCCAGGAGGGTCTCCCCCGATAGAGGATCGCCCCACGGCCAATGAAACAGAAAAATAAATTTTCTGCCATGAGCCGGGGTTCGAACTCGGGTCACTTTGTATTGGAAGCTCAGTGCCCTACCACTGAGCTATCCCACTCCCTTTATTCTAAGAAGGAAATGACTAAATATGGTGATATTTTGTTAATTTGTAGTTGTTTGAAAATAAATCTGTGATTGTCGTTTGGAATTTCATCTTCAATGTTTCCTTTTAAATTATATTCTTCATTTGAAATAATCCAAATGATTTGCATTTATCATCGTATATACAATATTAAATTTTATTAATTTCATATGGGTGCACTGATTCGTGTAGATATTTGATTAGCAGCTGAAAAACTGCACGCAAATAAAAAAAAAATTATTACATTACATAAATGATTGTGTGTGTGTGAGAGAGAGAGAGAGTGAGAGGGGAAAAATACAGAAAATTTATCTTCTTACGCGGGTAGGGAAATTCTTGTTTTCCATTATAATAATAAATATATATATATATATATATATATATATATATATATATATATATATATACATAAGCACACAAGTTTCACGTTTCAGGATACGTAGAATTCGAAAAACGAATAAAAAAATTTTTGTCCGTCCGCCGTTCTCACATTTTCTCCAAAACTACTGGACCGATTTTTTTTCAAATTTGGATTTAAAATCAGAGGTCACCCGAGGATGATCCTCCTTCATCGACATTACTATCCCAATTTTACTTTCAAAATGGCGGCCGAAAAACCTACGTTGCTATAGACTAGCGCCTAAACGAATGCACCGATTTCAATGAAACTTCGCTAAAGTCATTTTCTCGACACCCTTTAAATTTATCTATATAACATACTCCAACGAAAAGAAGCTGGAAAAAAAAGTTACCAGGGATGGTAAAATCAAATTCCGAATAATTTTTTTAAAGTTTATAAAATTTCCTAAAAAAACAAAAAAAAAATCGTTAAGATCGGACAACTAGGAGGAAAGATATGGTTTCTAATTTGTTTCCATGCATTGCCAGATAATAATTTCTATTCATAGTAGATCGGTAAGTGAAAGTTGTGTGTTGCGCGCACCAGATTTTTTAATTAAGCAACAAAAGAATCTTCCCTATTTATATAATGGAATATATAAAAAATTTGTATTATTTTTTAAGGAAAATTCTCTGAAGTGTTGAGGTTTGGTTCGATTAAAGAGACGCGATTCCCTCTACATCGGACAACGACGTACTACAAGGACTGACGGATTGCCTCGTTAGAGCTGTAAACAAGAGAGTCGGAGAGACCCGAGTAGTAAAAAAAAAAATGTTGGAATATTAGCGACGGGGAGACATCCCCCCTCCAGGACTACCCCCGACCCGCGCATGCGCCCCCCTTCCCCTCTCCTGCCATGGGGGCCCCCCTCCAAACCATCTTTTAAAAATAATATAATAATTTTGGAAGGAAGGGAAGGAAGGTTGAACGAGAGCCCAGTAGTACGCTCATCTCCCGCCCGCGCCACTACCTTCCCGCCGTTTTGTTTGTAAACAGTCTCTCGACCGATCACATGTCTTATTTTCACGTGTGTGACTTTAGTAACTCTTAGTAGCTATACATATAGTAGTGTGACTTTAGTGAATCGGTGGTAAATCAACTTGTCGTACTGTCTCTCCAACGCTATTATCAGGTAATTATCTTATCACATCTATTAAGTGAAATTTATATTATTTTAATTTTTTTATTTTAATATAGAAAAAAAATAATGAATTTTATTTTTATTTTTCAAATATTATTTCAACCTTTTTTAAATAAATATGTATAAATTTAAATATAAAAATTATACTTGACATTTATTTATTAAGTGATTTAAATATTATTTTAACCTTTCTCTAATAAATGCATATTGATAATAATTATAGTATACTATTATCATAAAATTTTAAAATAATTAAAATAAATAATAAATAGTAAAATAATTCTGTTATTGGATTTCATTTTTTACCGTAATTTATAGAATTATTTTGAATATTTTTGTTTATTACGTGATTCTAATTTTATTTCAATTTTTTTTTTTATTAACCTGTTAAATATTTTAATAGAATATACTTACTGTCATTATTTGGTATTTTTAACATATTTAATACTTTACAGAAATATTATTTCAACCTTTCTTTCATAAATATTCATACAATTTTATGTAAAAATTAATACAAATAATAGTTGATATTTGTTTATTAAGTGATTTAAAAATTATTTTATTCTTTCTTTGATAAATGCATATTAATAATAATTATAGTATACTATTATCATTTTATAAAATAGTCTTAAAATTTAAATTATTTTTTTTTAAACATACAATTACTAAAATAAATAGTAAAATAATCCTGTTATTAGATTTCACCTTTTACCTTAATTTATAGAATTATTTTAAATTTTTGTTTATTACATGCTTCTAATATTATTTTAAATTTTCTTTGATTAACATGTTAAATATTTTAATACAATATACTTACTGTCATTATTTGGTATTTTTAATATATTTAATATTTTATAAAAATATTATTTCAACCTGTCTTTCATAAATAATCATACATTTTTATGTAAAAATTAATACAAATAATAGTTGACATTTGTTTATTACGTGATTTTGATATTATTTTAACCTTTTGATAAATATTTTAATACAATATAAAAATCCATATCCTTTTAACTGGTAATTATCACTATTAATATTTGTTTATTTAAATTTTAATATAAAAAAATAATTATTTGAAATATTATTTCAACCTTTCTTTAATTAATGAATATATGCATATTTATTAAATTGTTATCATAATGTCATTTATTTTGTTATTTAAATTTTTTTTATATTAATATGGCTTATTTAGAAAAAAAAAACTAAATATTTCTTTCTCAAATAATTCTTTTTTTTTTTTTTTATTCACCAACATTACGTTACTATAAAGTAGTCTTAAATATTTTAATGTTTGTTATTTGAGGCTTTAACAAATACCAATTATCAATAAAGGCTTAGCAATATTGTAATCTATGAATGGATTTAAGAATAACATTTTATGTTACTTATTCATTTCGTAGTTTCATTGACGAAGTCATATTACTCTTCAAATTTAACATATTATTTGGTAATTATAATATTATTTCAACCTTTCTTTTATTAATATGTTAAATATTTAATTACAATATACTATGATTTTATTTACCTATCGGTTCATTAGATTATTTTAAGATTTTAACTTTTTTTTTATACATCCACATTAATTTTAATTAAAGTATGCTATTGTCATATTTAATTGGTTGATGTATTTTTACTATAAAAAATCTGCAATTTTTCTTGAACACTTGAATAAGAAAATATTCCAACTTTTTTTTTTTATTATAAACAATTATATTAAAACTTACATATATTATTATAATTGTTTTTATTAGTCTTTATTTATTATTTCAACCTTTCTTCAAGTTTTTATCTTAGTTTAACTTTAACATTTATTTATTTTTCAATAATAAGTTTTTATTTTATTAATTGTTTATTTTTTCATTACCAATGTTTGTCATTTGAGGCTTTGAGAAATACCTTCTAAATTATTATTACCTTTTAATATTTTTACCATAAAATTGTCTTACATATTTCAACTTTTTCTTTTGTTGGTTAAAACATTAATATGTTAATTTTTGTTTCCTATAGTCCTGTCATTATATTTAACTTTTTATTTTAATATACAGAATTATTATGATCGTTATTATTATTTTTAATTAATGAATTTTTAAATATTTTAAGAATTACTTTAATCTTTCTCCCAAAAATATATTTTTTTTTTATGTTTGGATCTGTTGTGTTTATCTTTAAAATTTATTTGTATTTCAATTATATATTTTTACCGATATATTATTACTTTACCGGTTTTTTTTTTCTATTTCAATGTGTTTGTCATCTGAGGTTTTAAAACATATCATATATCACCATTCCCTTTTCAATATTATGTTATGAATGGATTTTTAAGTTCATTTTGCAGCTTCATTGATAAATGGATTGATAATAATCATTGATAGTCAAATTTTGATGAAATCATATATTAATATCAATGATCTATTTGATTTAATGTTATATGCAATAAAAAAATAATATTTATATATATCTATATAACTATACCTTATTGATGATTTTTTTAAAGTTTCCGTAATTCATTGTTAAAGTCAACTCGTGTGTGGTTACTTTAGGCCGGAAGAATTCATAAATTATGAAATATTTCGAGTTTTTTCATCGAATTTTTTTTTTTTTAGGTTTTTCTTAGAGCTCATTAAAATAAAAAAATCTGAAATATTTAAAAAAAATGTTTAAAATTATACAGATCCAAAATATATACAAATATTAATATTTAATAAGTTTGAATTTTTTTAATCTTAATCACAATTACTTCAAACTTTCAGTTTACAGAATTAAATAGATCACTGTTATTGACTTATATTTTAAATAAATATGTACATTTTACTATTTAAGAACCTTTCATTGATAAAGTTATCAAGTCCGTAAAATAGTAATCTTGTCATAACTGACTGAACAGAAAGTCAATATTAAGATATGTTTTTTTTTTTTTCTTGATTAATATAAATCATTATCAGTATAATCATAAACTAGTTTAGTATTTATCTTCTTAATTTTATTTTATTTTGGAGAATTATTTAGATAATTTTTTTATAATAAATATACAAATATTACCACAAAATAGTCCTAAATATGAAAATATTTGTCGGTTTATGTATTAAGATAATTTTTGTAATAAATATCTGTCTATATATTTTTCAATTTTTATTCATATTAGTTAGATAGATAGTTTATTTTATTTGTCTAAGGAAATTCCTGTACAAATAAATATAATGGTATAATTAACAATGTTAGACTTGAGTCTAGTACTGCATTCATACATAACATTAACAATGTCCACAGCATTAAGTATGACTAATATAATATAATATAATAACAGATTAGTAAACGATATATATATATATATATATATATATATATATATATATATATATATATATATACATAACAATTAGTAAAACATTTTTTTTATTTTATTTTATTTTATTTCTTTAAATATTCGAGAGGTATAAGACAAATGACAATATAAATAAGAATTAATATATGTTATATGATTAACTTTACCACTTAACAGTTCAATGAACAGCCCTGTATAAAATAATACAGTTTGTTTATTTTTTTCGTAGTGTCTATTTTCTATATCTCCTCAACACTAGCATCTTCTCTGGATTCAGTGATAAATGCCTTCAAGTACTTATTTGTTGGTTCGTTGAACTTGATGCATTGGATCAAAAAATGAGTTACCGGGTCAGTTACAAGGCAGTTGCATGCACCACATACCTCACTGGATTTAATAGTCAAAGTAGCATCTTTTAAGTATATTTTCACAAAATCTTTACTTGCTACTCTGGGACGACTAACGGCTCTTAATTTGTTTAAATTCAGAGCCCTGAACTGAAGATAATCCTCTGGTCTGGTAACATTAAAGGAGCAGATTTTTCTATATCTTGGGTTCTTCATATTAGTTAATAAATTTTAAACAAAATTATAATTAAAATTGGTTATTAATACTGTTTTGGTTGTTGATATCTGAAATTTCAAAGAATATTTGATGTTTTAACAAATTAATATATTTATTTATTCAACCGTTTTTCCCAGGAACGTCATTTTTATATTTGAATCTCCTGTCATAATTAACCTTTGAGCATCAACTGTATCCTAATTATAGGGTTTTTTCATTATTTTTTTAAAATGACATCCACTCGTAATTAGAATATTTTCGTAAAATATTTTTACGTTAATGTCACTTATTAAATTTCATTAATTATTAACTGCTGAAATATAAATAAGAAAAAGACAATCTTTATTTAAATAGTTGCTGTATTTTAAGAAACTATAATAATACTATGTAATTTATTACAAGTAAATTGTATCCAGATTCCAGTATATGTTAATATATTTTCGTTCTATTATTTAAATAAATTAATGATGCTTTGATCATTATCAATACAATTATTTTTGGATTATATATATATATATATCACTCTGATTATTTAAGTGAATTATATTTTTTTTAAATTTAAAACAAAATAATCACACTACATTTTAAAATGTATTAAGATCTATTGCAATATATTATGAAAATGTTTCTAATGATTTTTTTACCCAAGGTTATAATAGGGTAATCAACAAATCTCGTGACTTTAAAAATTATGGCATATTATATTGTGATACCATCTATGACAATATAATTATTTATTTTTGTATATTTTTCTTTTGATATGTTTTTAGAAGTAAAATATATTTGCGGATAATTTTCATTTTCCCTATATTTAAAGATTGTTGGGGCACTCAAATTTTTCTATATCGATTTATCACCTTTTTACTGGTATTCTTATCTTAGCTTTATAATATTTAATATAAGTTTATTGGTAATTTAAATACGCCATAACAGTATAATTTTCTAAAGGTTTGTTCCATGTGTTTTTTCCATCATGTAAAAATTTAATATATTTAAAAATTATTAATAATGCTACAACAGCATCAAAAATAACTTAATCACTTAGGTAAAATCACGAAAGTATTTAGTCTAAAACAATATATTCATATTATACGTATTGTATTAT